GGGGGGTCCCTCTATTCCAGGTTAAGCGTGTTTTGGATTTTTGAATAGGACATCAGTGTAATATTCAAACGCGTTCAAAATGGATGCGAGAATGCACCAGAGTTCTATATTTGTAGAGTATAGTTTGACAGCAGGCTTGCGAAAAGGTTAAGTAGAAATTACTCAGCCCACATCTATTGCCAATTTGCGTGAATGTCTACGCTGATTATTCAACGAATCGCGCGTTGAGGTTTTGAGTAGATCGCACAATATTTTAGTTCGAAGAGGATGCAAATATTGCGCAGATAACGAGAGTAACGCGATACAGTAACTTGCCCCAATGCGAGGTTATGGGATCGAATAGCCGCTCAGATAACGCGTGCACCGGTGTATATTTTAAGAGTCAGCTACACCTCGATTATTCCGTCTACTTGATAAATGTAGACCAACTCGGATCTCGCCATTGATGCAAACTACTGCGTGGTAGTGGGAACATCGCAGGTCACAAATCGAAGCAAACAGATGAAGTGTGAAAGTCGACTCCAAATGCGTTGTTTATGTACATCTCTCCAATACAGAGTCATTACATATGATCTATTTTTATTTGGGACATGTGGTTTTGCCCGGCTGGGTCTATAAATTAGTTTATCCTATCCGGTTGTTGTTTTCCCCTCTCCGATTGTGTCTCATCCTAACCATGTATAGTGTGCCTCAGGACGTAACGTTAAGGAAAACACACATCAAAGTCTAATGAAACGCCAAAGGGGACGGCTACGAACCTGCAAGCGGGCTGCGCGCACAAACGCGCTCTAGCTGGACAAAATAGTAATAACACAACTCCAAATGCACCTAGCACACACACAGTCTGCGTGCCACATAGGTCGTGCGTATGCTGGCTGGCAGATGTTCTGCGACAGAGCTTCCACGGATAATGGGACGCTGTTGAGTGGCAATGGCGCGGTGAGGGCGCCTCTCGCTAAAAGGCAGACAGGGAGTCCTGTCTGGCATAGAATTAAAATAACAACTGAAACGAAAACCTCTCTAATTCTGATTAGCAAGTACGAGAGGAAGTTCAGATCACAGCTGTGATCTGGATTGTGCAGGCAGATAGCCGCCTGCCAACCATAGTGCGATGACGATACGAGGTGTGCAGACGCCAAGAACGCAGTCCGAAGACGAGCTCACTTCCTCTTTTGCCTCAGACCCTGAGCTCCAGTCTGTATAAGCATTAGTATAGAGGATAGAGAGATTAAAGAAAAATACACTGTAGTAAGCTTTCTCAGTGGTGTACTGTTCATTTTAACAGACGCGGACCATCCATTCCGCAGGGACGTCCCCGACATTTAGCCATGCCCCCTGGTAGCGAGCTGCGCAGCCAGCTCATGCGACAATCTCGTCTCCAGGTAGCAAGACGTTGGCGCGACGTGCCTCGACCGTAATTACCGGCACGGCGACGCCTGTGCGTCATGAAGACCCAGCTGATTGACGTGCACTCTACCGCTCCGCTCTACCTTGGCATCCAGACTAGCGCTACGTTTTACCCAGACGTGCAGAGCTGCAAAGTGATTCGACGGCGGCGTACTGGGCGCGGCATGTTGATGGGTCTTGATCCTGTGTCGCTCTTGCGGGTGGCCTGGCGTGTTGCTGGCGTTGATTGGTTGAAGATTACGACATGAGTTGCAATAGGAAAAATAATTTTATTACGTAAAAATAATCTATGCATCCTGAGCCAGTTGATATTTATTTATGCTTCTGATGCTTCGGCTCCGACGTATGCGCACTCAACGCGGTGCCTCTGGCGTCTTCCGTACATACCTATTTCGGTTTGAGGGGGGATTTGCTGCCAGCTCCCAGGTTGGTTCCCAGGAAATTTTATGAATTGCACGCAGCCGTTTATTAGGTGATCTGCCAGGATGGTCCGTATGTGATACGTAGGAGGTCCCCGTAGGTCGGAACCAGTTGGCAGAACCCATTCTGCCTCACCAACGTCGTCTCCTGAAGCAGCTACCCCATCAAGACAGGCTTGGTGATACGTGCTTTC